ATTCACCCACGAAAGCTCATGCTCCAATACGTCTGTTAGTCTATAAGGTGCCACAGGACTCTTTGCTGCTTTTACATGGTTTTTTTTGTGACTAAAAGGAAATGCTGAACTTTAGTTTCCCTCCCCACAATATATAAAGGTATCAGTTGAACACAATGTTTTATTGATATACAGTAGAACTGCATTTTTCCAAGCCTTCATTATACATATTAACCGAACCACCCGCTGCCAAGGTCTGACAGCAGCTGGGCTCCAGCTGACTGCTCAAGCCTCCACCGTGTGGGGGCTGACCACCTGAGCCCTTGCTGCTATCTGCCCCATGCGGCTGGTGGTTCAGTTAATACGGAGAGCTGGGTAATGGAGGCTTGGATAAACGGGGGTTCTATTGTATATGTTTTTATTTTTTCACAAAATGTAAAAACCAAAGCTTCTCTGTAAAAGGCAAATTCCGCATTTTCCCGTGGCAAATGCATTTCTAGGATCCCTGACAATATTTCCTTTTGCTCATCATACAGCATCATTCAGAGCCCCCTGTTGCAGAAATACAGGCCTCCTGTTTTAAAACGTCAGTGTGGACTTCCACTCCTTCCAGTTCCGAATGATTATTTGTCAAAAGGGACAACTCTTCAGTGCTGCACCAGGGCTTGGAAGACGAAGGGCCCCCTTGTACAGCACTAGGCAGGGTTATAGAGTTGCAGTCCTCTCGAGTTCTAGGACTCCAGACAATCCAATGCTGTCATTCCTCCTCAGAGTTCTTGGGTTTCCCCAGAGAAACATGAAGATAAAAGAAAATACCTGGACCCTGCATTGACAACAAAGCTGCAAAATGAAGATTTCACAATTATTTTTAAGAGCTTAAATCATGAAAGAAAATGTTGCCTTTTTCAGCTCTTTTAAAACACTTGCAGGGGACCTTTTGGAGCCATCATCCATCTGTCTAGCTATCAGCATAGTATCTGGGCACAGCCAGGGGTGCTGGAACAATTTTTATAGTGAGGGTGTTGAGAGCCATTCAACCAAACTGTAAATCCTGTATATCAGGGGAACCACTTCAAACCTGGGGGTGCAGTAGCATCCCTGGTTCCAGCACCTATGAACACAGCCCAAAATTACAGCAAGAAAGCAATCACTCTTAAACCTGTAACCTCCTACATAGTATCGGGTCACCAGATTTGGGAAGCCAGGAACTAGGATATGATGTGGAGTTAGGGGAATGAGTATGTGAGAGTTTGGGTGTCATTGTCTTAAAAATGAAACCACTAGAATAGTCCACAGGGGTGTTTAAGAAACAGGCCTATAATAATACCAATACAATTCAATAGCACTACAGCTTTGTTCCTCAATCTTTTTGTCGCCCCCCCCCCCAGCCCACCCAGAACAAAAAAAAAGTACTCAGGCTCCCTTACTGGAAACTTTTAAATGGATGTGGAACAGAATCTTCACCAGACCATAATATCTGTTCCCATTTATCAGAAGGACATTGGGGAACAGCCAAAATCTTCAGCTATCATTGCAGAAATAGGAAAAACAGCCAGTGGGCTTCAAGAAAGCTTCACTGGGTTCACAATCCCAGAGCTCAGGGAAGAGATGCCAGCCAGGCAGCTGGCACGGTGTGTCCACCATGCAGCTGTAACACTGCCAGCAGGATCAGTGGGTACTGAGTGAGCTGTTGCAACATGTGGAGCTGGCTACTGGAGTTCTTCCCATAAAATAGTGTTGGACCTGTTCCTATGTGTGAGCCTAGCTTTACTTTCCACAAACAACAAGACAGTACCTTAGTCAGCTTTGCAGACAGGTCTGTTATTTCCAACCCGCTTCCCCATTCCCAGGGGATATAACCCATAACCAAGCTTCAGTTAACCAACAGTTAATACTAACCAACCTTTGGTTAATCAGGATTTCTACTACACTGAAAAAAATACTTTGGGAGGGGGGGTATATTTTCATCACACGCACAGCACATATGGCCAGATTTTCAGAGGCACTGAGTATCCACAACTCCCAATAAAATCAATAGGAACTATGGAGACCCAGCTGCTGAGAAAATCAAGCCAATGCTGGATTTTTTTCACTTCCATTTGGGGCTCAACAGACAAGGAACCCTCTATTGACTACGCGCTCATCAGCTCCAGGTTCCGGTGCTGGTGAACACAAGTCCAAAGGAATAAAGAGAATAATTGTTGTGTTCCCCTCGTCCCCTGCATTTCGACAGCATGGAAGCCACTATAACAAGTTAAAATGTGGCAGTCATCCAGGTAGCATGCTGTTAACTTGAAGCTGTAGTAACTTTAGAAAGTGTGACTTTCATTGGGCAGAATGCGAACTCCTGTTGCAACAGCAGAGATATTTTTTTGCCTATACAATCTGAGAGACAGGGTAGGGCAAAGTGACTATATACTTCAACAGCTATGAAACAGCAAGCTGGGAAATTCTACGTCTATGCAGTGCCTCTTCTCCTGTTCTCCTTGCAGATGGGTAAGTGCTGATCTGTTTAAACATCTTCCTTAATATGGAGGAGTTTGACTTATTTCTGAAATTTGGTTTGTGAGGCTTTTTTTTTTTAAGCCATTCTCCCCTAAGGACTTCTCAGGATACAGAAGGAACTTTGTGGGTCAAATTCAGTACTGAATTTTGCATTGAAAAACACATTCTTGTTTATAGATCCATTCCTATTTAGCTCATAGGCATGTTTGTTTGCGTTTCATCCCAAAGGGGAAATGTATCTTTCCATTTCCATTAGTTCTCGAGAAGGCTGACTATGTACCTTCATTAGTAGAAGCTTTATGGCTTGTTTGTTTTTCTGACATATTAGCTACCCAGTGTGTTCGCAGAACAGTCATAAATATTAATTTTCCAAAGCCAACCTCAGCCAAAAATTCTTATGAATTAAGCAGAGGTATATACAGTCATTTATCACTTAATTATAGAATTTAGGGGTCAGTTCCTGGGATGTGATGTGACCGTATTGCACTGGATTGCTGGCAGATCCCAGCTGTAAAGCCAACATAACCAATTGCTGTAGTGTAGGGGAATTCTCTGATGGTGGAGACCTGGTATAACGATTTTTTGCCACTCCCCTCCCAAATGTCCACTTAGTAGGTATGGCCAAAGGAATGGGGGCATGACCAGGAGACCTATGCCCTCTGCCAATCTCCAGCTACCATTTTAGTTCCTTGAGATTGTTTGCATCTGGCGTAAGTTAAAGACGCCCATAGGCTGCTCTGATTTACTCCAGGGAGTAGAGTTTGGGGTAGAGCAAAAGTAAACTTTATTCCATCTTTGAGCCACCTCACCCCCTTTAACCTGCCTTGTGTGCTCCTCAGGACCGGGCCCTAGATAAGAAAATCTCAGCTTTATATTAAAATTACTTATAGGTTCCCTAATGCATTCCTCCTGGCCCGAGGGGATAGTCCCCTGCACTATATTTCCCAGTGCATTGGTCAGCCTAATTTTAAGTATCTTAAAAGCAAAAAAACATAGAGCTTGTCCACCTGACTTCCACATGGCAGGTGGAGATACCCATCTCTATACTAATGAAGAGAATGGAATAAAAAGAGCTTATTGGCAGAGTCAACAAAACATTTGGCAAGAAATATTCCTGGATGCCAACATAAGGGCATTGTCTATTTAAATATCAATGAACTAGTCACTTCCCAGTTGCGCAACATGGAAAAAAAAAGTCTGTGCTGTGACCTTCACAGTGAAGACCCAAAACACAGCTGGCACTAAAAGACACAGACACTCTTTTGGGTTCTGATTCTTAGTGATTAATTGCAATCTCAGTGATGTATATTGAGACAAAGATACAGGATCACAACAGATGACAAGGTCAGTTATATCAAGGTGGAAGTAAAACTCGTGATGAACAGCGATGATGTTAGAAAACACAATTAATGTGCAGTTATGATCAGAAAAGTGCCAATGTAAAAATGGTACCTTCTTACTCAATAAATGGAAAATAGATAGTAATCATACTGCAGATGGATATATGGGGAGTTCCCTCTCCTATGTTTTTTTGGGGGGAAGTGGTCAGGCAGGGCTTATCCCAGATAGTAGAGAGAGCTCCAGGAACTCCTGCTCTTCAGCATTTCCCAGACTGCAGCTGTCCCCTCTCCACCTTCATTCTCCCAAGTCACCTTCAGACACAAGTCCCTTGCACATGTTACTGCAGACTCGGTTTGCAGCAGGCCTGGCGCTACTGGGAAGGCAACGGGGACATTTGTAACCCCCCCGCTTCCCATCCTGATCCCTCCCAACCTTTTCTGCTCCCCTCCCTACACTTGGTGCTGGATCCTGGAGGAACTCTAATGGAGAGGAAGTGGGGAGTATGCTACAGAGCTGTATCTTGCCCCTGTTCTGTGTCTTCCCAAGCTATAGCCATGGATTTCACCTCCTTCCCCCTTCTAGAAGTGGGGATACAATGGGGCCCTACATATAACTATGATGATGCCTGTATTTATAGTTCTGAAATCCTGGGAGATAAACTCTTGGTACAGCAGACTTTAATCACATGCAACCATTTTGAGAGATTTTTTTATTATCTATTACAGTGCATTCTGATTATGGCCCAAGGCAGCTTTTTACAAGCAAGGAAAGGTGGCTGACTCACTGGCACCTTACTATCCCTCACAATGTTATGATACTGACAGAGCAAATGTATATCAAGGGTCAGAAAATGTGCAGAAAATATGAAGATAACTTGCATTTATAATCATCGTTCTATGTTTCCATAACACCTTTCAGATCGCTAAGCATTTTACAAACTTTCCTACCTAACTATATAGTAATCTTTTTCATCCACCACTGAAATGCAGCCACCTCTGGGGTGGAATGTGGCAGCTGTTTAACAGCACACAGCAACATTACAGAACAGTTTGGGACAGGAAGTGAAGGAGAATATCTTTCCCATTGAAATGCCTTTAATTCCAAAGTGCTTTATAGGAATCCTTAAAATATGGCCTAACAGCACTGACATTGAGCTCTGGAGTGGAATGGGGTAGCTGTTTGACAGAGAACTGTCACTGTTAGCAATAGGAAGTAAAGAATATTGTTACTAACTGAAATGGCTTTCATTCTAAAGAGCTTTATAGACTACATGTACAGTGATTACTCACTCACCACAGAAATGCAGCCACCTCTGGGGGGATGACACAGCAGCCATCTTGCGTGGTGACATGAGGCAGCACAGGCTGTATTAACCAATCTGGGAGCAAGAGAGCCTGAGAGAATCACAGCTACTGTATATATCTGGTTGCCTTAATAAAAAAATCACTTTTATATTCATTACAACTGAGTCCTGCCTCTTCTATATCACAGGGGACACAACAGCCACTGGTATGCTGTGCTACTACCACGCTGTTCTCTAGTATGTGGATTGCTACCTCACAGGCAACTGTTTTGTCTGTTGTACGGCACATTTTGTAAAGCATTTCAGAATGTAATCACCATATAACTGTTTAACATTGATTTTGTAACCAATTAGGATCTTTTACTAACAACTACCTTGTACTCTCCCCATCTTTATATCCATCTGTTGCCTCTTGTCTTACACGCAGGCTGTAAGCTTTTTGGTGCAGGGCACGGACCGTCTTTTTGTTCTGTGTTTGTACAGCATCTACCATAATGGGGCCCTATGACTAGGCCCTCTAGTCACTACCATAACACAAATAATTAATCATTCTAATTATAAACTGTCATTGTGCCTCAGTGGGTCACAGCTGAGGATGCCAGATTCAGGACAAACTGCTGAGAAATTGGGCAGACTCGTCCCAAACTGGTGGTTATTCTTTCATTGGATTATACCAAGCCAGTAACAAAAGTAAACTTCTGTCTCACCAGAAATCAAAAATGCAGTCTCCTTAGGCATTCCAGCCCTAGTCTCACCACCCAAACGCTGGACTCTATGATGAGTGGTTATTGAAAGCCAATTTAATCAAACAGGGTTCTTCTAATCCTAAAAGACCAGCCACTTAGCCAGGTCAATATATAGCTCAGATAATCTAACCCAATAATCACATTGATGCCAATCCTTTAGTAACTAAAAACTAAAAGTTTAGTAATAAAAGAAGAAGAGAGTTAATAACAGTTAATAGATCATATACATATAAATAATTGCAAAGTTCTTATATCAGGTTTGTAGCAATGATGATATACACTGCTAGCTTGTAAAGTCTCTGGTAACTTCCAAAAGATTGGAAGGTCCTTAGTACATAGTTCAAAATACTCCTTTTATTTGTAAATCCAGAGAATCAGGACAGGAAAGAAGAAAAATGGAGATATCTCAGGGGACTTTTATATCCTCTGCCAGGTGCCTGGAAATTTACTGTCTACAAAAAAAAAAAAGACTCACAGCCCAGTTTGTGGAAAGTTACTGGCTCAAGATGGAATCCAGGGTCACATGAGCATATCACATGTCCTTGCACACATTGATACTCACAGCGGCAGCCATTGCCCATATTCTTGCTGAGGAATCCACAGGCAGGCTTACTGGATGGGATGAGTTTCTTTCATAGATTCATAGATTCTAGGACTGGAAGGGACCTCGAGAGTTCTGGCCTTCTATGGCCCATTGTTAGAGTGAAAAAACAACAGAGGGTCCTGTGGCACCTATAAGACTAACAGAAGTATTGGAGCATAAGCTTTCGTGGGTGAATGCCCACTTCATCAGACTCATTTGCGTCTTCTCCAATACTTCTGTTAGTCTTAAAGGTGCCACAGGACCCTCTGTTGCTTTTTACAGATTCAGACTAACACACGGCTACCCCTCTGATGTTAGAGTGAAGTGTCCTTAGTGGGCCATCAACACATAGCTGTCTGGCCTTGATGTAAATCTTATCTGGTGGGTGTTACCCACGAATACAACACATGTCAGGGCCAACTCTAGCATTTTTGCCGCCCCAAGCAGCAAAACAAAAAAAAAAGCTGCGATCGCAATTGCGATCGCTATCAGCAGCAGCTCTACCACCGCTTCATTCTATGGCGGCAATTCGGCGGCAGGTCCTTCGCTCCCAGAGGGAGTGACGGCCCCGCCACTGAAGGGCCGGACGTGCCGCCCCCCTCTTCATTGGCCGCCCCAGGCACCTGCTTGCTAGGCTGGTGCCTGGAGCCGGCCCTGCACAAGTGTAAGCTACCAGTGCATAGCCAATATTCATAATATCAGATGCAAAGATAATACATGCATCTAAACAGGATAATCACACTTAGCAAATCATAACTTTTGCATTGACACCTTACATGACATAATTTGTCCAAGATTTGTTGCAACTGTATAAAGTGGTAATATCAATGATATAAATGGTCATGGTCATATCCAATCATACAGCATCACATAAACACAAAAGAGATTTTGCGTGTGTGTGTATGAAGAAACCACTCTAATTGATCACTCTTAACCTGGAGACTAGAGTTTTGATTCTCCACTGCCTTGCACTTTGGGTCATCACGTTCAACTGTGCCCAGTGAGGGCAGCATGAGGCTCAAATACTACTAAAGGAGAATGGTAGCATTTGACATCCTCTTAACTCACTCTGCACTCTGTAAATGGCAACAGCAGTCTCAAGGCAATGGAAAATCAGCCCCTCGTGACGTAATGTCTTGTATTCCATGATATTCTATAGGTGGTTACTGGGGGAATGGGAACTGTTTTTTAAAGAAAATAAAAAATATTTTAAATATGGATTCTAAACCCTCTACTGCTGTTTTGTTTCCGTGCTTGGCACCCCATCCAGTTGTTCCAGTTAGGCATTTCAGAGGGAAAAGATTCCTCTTGTTTTGTGAGCTGAGGTTTGTTTCCAGAAATGAGGCGCACTCAGCTGTCCCAGAGCTCGTGGCTGTTTGATACTATGATTAGCAGCCCGGGGAAATGTGGTTTGAAATCCCTGCATAGCATCTCTACTATTTATACATATAAATAGCAGCAGGGTAGTGCTGCCTCTTCTCTGGTTTTGAACATAACCCTGGGTACTGTCAATAGACTTGTTAATAAACAGATAAAAGTCTGTTGGCAGTGTTCTTGAGTACCTCTTCTGTCTTTCAAGATGCCAGCTGTCAAAACAGTGTGGGACCTTAGGATATTGTCGGATTCCAACCTTCATGCTGTTGAAGGAGAGAGACCGTGAATGGGCTGATTACCAATCACCTTTCTGTTGAGCAAACATCAAAGCAAGTCCCATCCTTGTCCTTCCTGCCATACCATGACCCATAAAGGAGCTACCTAATGTTATTTAGCTCAGTAGCCTTCCTTGTTGGGCTCTCTTGGCTGGTTGAGCTCTCTTCTTCCCTCCCTTTTAATTTCTCATCTTCTGTCATTTTGTCCCCTCTCCCCTCTGACCAGTGCTTTACTCTGCCTGGTGCACTTAGAGTTGAGGGCAGTGTGGATAAAAAGCAGGTTCTCCCAGGTAGAAAGTGGGCAGATGATGTATTTAAAAGTTAATGGGAGGGAAATACGAGAGCTGTGAGAAATATTCACATTCACCCTTAAACTCATTTGAACAGAGACTTGGGCTGGAGGTTCCATGAGTTCACACACGCAATTGGGCCAAGATTTTAAAAAATGGTTGCCTAAACTTAGGCTCCTAAGTCCATATCTAGGCACCTAACTGACCTGCTTTTCAGCTGTGCTAAGTACCTAGCAGCTCCCACTGTTCCACTATTAACTAGGGTTGCCAACTTTCTATTCACACAAAACCGAACACCCTTGCCCCTTCCCCAAGTCCCCTCCCCCTCTGTTGCTCACTTCTCCCCCACCCTTACTCACTTTCACTGGGCTAGGGCAGGGGGTTGGGGTGCAGGATGGGGTGAGGGCTCCAGCTGGCGGTGCGGGGTCCAGGTTGGGGCCAGAAATGAGGGGTTCAGGGTGCAGGAAGGGGCTCCTGGCTTGGGCAGGGGATTGGAATGTGGGAGGGGGTGAGGGATTCAGCTGGGGGGTGCAGATTCCAGGATGGGACCAGAAATGAGGGGTTCAGGGTGCAGGAGGGGGATCTGAGCTGGAGCCAAGGGGTTCGGAGTGCGGGAGCAGGCTCAGGGCTGGGGCAGGGGGTTGGGGTGCGAGAGGGGGTGCAAGCTCTGGGAGGGAGTTTAGATGGGGGAGAGGGCTCAGGGCTTGGGTTGGGGTGCCGGAGAGGTGCTGGCTCCAGGAGGGAGTTTGGGTGCAGGAGGGGGCTCAGGCTGGGACAGGAGATTGGGGTGCGGGGGTGTGGGCTCCAGGAGGGGGCTCAGGGTTGGGGCAGGGGATTGGGGTGCGGGCTCTGGGAGGGAGTTAGTGTGCAGGAGGGGATTCCAATCTGGGGCAGGGTTTTTGGGGTGCGGGCTCCGGCTGGGCGGTGCTTACCTCAGGCGGCTCCCAGGCGGCGGCGCAGTGGGGCTAAGGCAGGTTTCCTGCCTGCCCTGGCTCTGCACGGCTCCTGCAAACAACTGGCATGTCTGGCTCTTAAGCACAGGGGTGGGCAGGTGGCTCTGCATGGTGTGCACTGCCCACACCTGCAGGCGCCACCCCTGCAGCTCCCACTGGCTGCGGTTCCCGGCCAATGGGAGCTGTAGAGCCGGCACTCGGGGCGGGGGCAGCACGCGGACCCTCCCTGGCTGCCCCTGCAGCTAGGGGCTACAGGGACATATTGGCCACTTCCGGGAGCCGCACAGAGCCAGGGCAGGGAGGGAGCCTGCCTTTTCGACTGGGTGTTCCTGGCAACCCTATTCTTAACCTCAACACCGTTCATCTTTCTCTCTGTGCAGCTGTCTTCATTTGTGCTGAAGATGCAGCAAAAGAGAACGCAATCATCACCCTCAACTCTCCTGCTACTGCTCACACAGCGGTGCTGCCCCTAGTGGTGACCACCCCTGAGCCATGGCATCCATTTGTGGCTCAGATCCCAGCCAAGGAGAAAGCCAAGGAGGGTGAAACTGTGGTCCTGAATTGCCAATTTCACAGTCCCTGGGGCCCATCCCTGAGCAAGCTGACAGTAAAGTGGTACAAAGTGGATGAAAAGGGGCAGAGGGACCTACTGGAGAACAATGTGACTGTCTTGACAAACTACTCCAGGGCTTTCATACATGGGAACTTATCCCAAGGAGATGCCTCCCTGACTATCCTCAATGTGACAGCCAGTGATCACGGCATTTATTTCTGCCAGGTGACGTTGTCCAGTGGGAAGGTGGTGATGGGGAGTGGTACAAAGCTCAGGATCAGGAGAGCACTAGGTAATATTTTGTGTTCATTTCAATTCTTCTTTTTCCCCCCTTGAAGTTGGTTTGTGCACTAGTAGATGGAAGAAGAGGTCTGGAGCTGATACTAATTGGTAAAATAACTGTGACAGTATAGTGCATGCCTCTCAGAAGATCTTGGCCTTTGTCTGGTGAAATCTCACATTGTTTGTTTTGATAGCTTCATTAACAAGTCATCCCCACAAGATGTGCTTCATGACCAATGTAGCTGCTTTTCCATCTTTTTGGGGCAGTGGAATGCATCAGTTCAGCAATAAGCTTGAATGAAAGGGACCAGAGAATGAGGCCTGGTCTACACTGCGGGTGAGGGTATCAATCTAAGTTACACAACTTCAGCTTCGTGAATAATGTAGCTGAAGTCGAAGTACTTAGATCTCCACGGTATCTTCACTGTGGTAAGTTGATGGCTGATGCTCCCCCGTCGACTCCGCCTATGCGTCTCCGAGTCGACAGGAGAGCGCTCGGCGGTTGATTTATTGCGTCTAGACAAGACGCGATAAATCAACCCCGCACTGGATCGATTGCTGCCCGTCGATCCAGTGCAAAATGTAGACATGCCCTGAGAGAAATCTAACTCACAATGGACATTATTTACCACAAAACTTGGTCCTCCTAAAACTGATCTAAATAAATCAGAACTTTAGAGATGGAAAAGATCTATTAGGTCGACTAGTCCACCTCTTGGCCAAACTGTGTATCAAGCTACAGGGTTGTTCCCCATAATATATTCTCTTGGCTATGTCCACACTAGTTTTGGCATTTCCTCACCTTTCATAGGAGGTTTTTGTACATTGTAATAGATCTCATATTAAGACTTTTTTCCTGAAGCTCTGCCTAATATTCGCCTTAACTCGCTTTAATTCCTTTATTCTTGTATCTCCCATAAGCAATTCCTTTTCCTCTATTCCATGCCCTTCTGACTGTCCTTTCAGACAAATTCTTCCAGCACTTTGCTTTCCTTCTGTCCCATTTTACATGGTTGTAAAAGAGGTCCATTGCAAAGGCCTTTAAACTAGTGACACCTGCTGATAAGCTGCCTCCTCTGCATGTAGGCCCTGATTCAGCAAAGCATTCAAACAGGTGCTTATCTTAGCGCATGGGGAGTAACCCTATCACTATTCTGCAAAGAATGCTTAATTTTAAGCAGATGAGTGGGTCAATGGAATTAACTTAAGAAATGATGAATCATGGCCAAATTCTGAGGTCTAGTTTTTTTTACCCAGACAACTCCCATTGATGTCAGTGGGAGCTTTCCTAATTGAGGACTTATTTAAAACTGAGTAAGGACCTCAGTATCTGTCCTGCAGCCATCACAGTGAACAATGTTGTCCACATTTTCTAGTGCCTGGTAAATTTATCAGCAAACAGGGATGTAATGAATACCTGACCTACATCTGATTGTGCATCAATCTGGCAGTTTCGTTGGGGAAATTATTGCATTTCAGATGTAAAGATAAAATGCCATTTTAAGTCTGGTCTGGCCACACTCTGCTGATCCCTGACCTGTTCTCCCATTCACTTCCTTCCTCCTAAAGACATACTTCCTCTTGCTGTTTCTCCATTCTACCACCCTCCCCAGATCAGAGACCTTCTATGTCCCCCAAGCAGTACTCAGTTCCAGTGAATTCTGACCCAGAACCTCAGGATGTAATGATCCCAAAGAATGTGGAACTGTCACATCTCTACCTACCTGTCAAGTGGTGGTGGATGCCCCCATGTCCCAGTGAGAAACAAACATCTTCAGATCTTACCTCTCTTTGGTGCTGTCTCCTTTGGAAAGTTGCAGAAAAGTTACAATACTCAGAATATTGCAAAGTACTCTTTACTGTTTGCTCATACCTTATGAGTGCGTGAAGAATACAGGGGAGATCCCTATAAATGCAGCCTGATTCATAATTCACTATCACCTCACAGCATAGTACAGCCTACAGCCCTGCACTGAAACAAATCAGTGTGCAATACACTGTCTTCAGTCCCTATAGTGTATTGCTGCTTCCTGCCTATGCTGAAATAAATCCACATGATCTGCAGTGGACCATACTCTCTCTTTCTGCTCTAGAGACCTGCAGTTTCTTGCCCATCAAGAAATCCATATAATTTGTAACACAGTAGGCAGCATCCTCGGCAAGATACTGTAGAAATCAGTAACTTCTCCTATGTACTATCCTCCATGGGCATATAGCTCCATGTAATATGTCTTGTGTCACTGTGCCTCTTTCCTCAGGGTTGTTTGGCATAGAAGAATCCATTGGAACAATCATCGGGGTTGTGGCAGCCGGTATAGGAGGCTTGGTGGTTCTGATTATAGTTCTAACTCCTCGGTTGAGGAAGTGTCTCCTGTGCATAAAACAAGCACCTCACCAAGGTATGGAGGAGACAGTGAATTCTCGGATCAGTTACTATAAAAATATGAGCTTCTCATAAAACACAGACAACATGTTACATGTGTCCAAAGTACCTTTAGAACTCCTGTAGATTTAGCCACTTAGCAGTCACAGACTGGGCAGGGATCATGCAAGGAACAGGATAGCTGGACAGTCCTGGTGAAATCCAGTGACCAAGACAGATGTAAGTCTGTGTCTGTTTTTCAGACAAACCTACTCTGGATGTAACAGCCTGTGTGGACACAGCACAACATTTACCTGCAAAAAACTTGGAAGGATTGCCTTGCCCGCAAACTCCCACACAAAGGTACACATTGAACAGACACAGACCATTCAAAAATACTGAGTTGTCTTCAATCCCTTCCCCGGCCCCCTTCGGTCTGAGCCACCATTCTTACCCTCACTCTTTAAGACCTTACATGGATTTTCTCCCAGTGGCTGCAAAGATCCCAGCGATACAGAGGGCCAAATTTTCAAAGCTGCTCACTCCTGTTTAGGTGACAAAAGAAGTGGCCAGATTTTTCAAAAGTGCTTAGCTAAGTGTCATAATGGGAGCTGAGCACCTTTGAAAACCTTATTTATTTGGCCAAATGAAAGCTGAGCTCTTTTGAAAATCTGGCCAATTGTTGGTTCTGAGCACTTCTGAAGCCTGGCCATGGCCACTCACACACACTGCCTTCAGAGCAATGCACTCACACTCTCTCTCTCTCTCTCTCTCTCTCTCTCTCTC